TCCTGGATTCCACTGTTCGTCACCATCCACCGAACGTAAGTTTAGTTTCTAATGTGCACTCAGGTGCACTCTTTTGATGACTGCAAACAAACATAGAATCTGAGTAAATTACAGTATCTAGCTGATTGATTAATAGCAGTTTGCAATGCCACACCATGTTTTTAGCCACACTAAAAAGTCTACTCTGTATGGATTTTGATCTATAGTGAAAAATCATAATCTACATCAGTTACCAACTGATAACTAATTCATTTTTGACTAGTGCAGCTGGTTTATTTGATAACCAACAAATAAAGTTCTAAATAAGATAATTTAGCTAGATTTGGAAGTATAACTCGGTATATTCGTTCATTGTTAAAATTAACTGTCTGGTTAAAGACCCATAGACTAGATTCATCTTTACGCTAAATTTGTACGGTTTTTCTCGTGAAACATTGAACACAATCAGCGGTCTTTTATTTTTGGATCCTCCAACCGTAAAAAGAATAGTATTATCCACGCACAAACATTCTGTTTGATAAAATGTTGGGAGAACATTCTTCTTAAAATGTTGAGTACGTTTCTTTGGCCAAACCAAGTTCACATTTAGTGGTTTGAAAAAATTAGGTTTTGCGTAAATGATGCCTATTATGATACAACATTTTTTATTTCCCTATGAATGGAAAACAAAACAATATTGTTTTCTCTATTCAAATTAACAGTAAACTAGAATTTACATAATCTCCGTTTGTATGGTGTAACCTAACCATAGTTCTTCTGCATAAAGAAGTTCTACACTATCAAGTAAATCAATTGGTAAAGATAACAAACGATTTGCAGGTTGTTGTTGTATCTGCTGTGTGTACCTACATGTTTATGTATTGAAAATGCCTATCACAAATGTGTTGATGTTGTCAACTCACTAGGAGGGGATGTTGGGTCCAGGTCAAACTCTTTTAATTCATCATTCCTATCCAAACAATTTCGATTCTGTTTAGTATGAATTGCTTCTGACTTTTAAATTTTTTATCTGAATGATCGATTCCAATACTATCAAAACCAATCTTGTGTCTGATTCGATAGTGTGTATACCTGTGGTCGACAGTTTTGGAGCTTTTCTAGTTCCACTGGATTTCGCGGTGATCGAATACAGGACCTACGATGTGCGTTTCTTCTGACTTTGATTTCTCGAAAGTTTTTCAAACTTATATTTCATCCCAATATGAGCATTCTATTTTGTAGATATAGACTGTGAATCCCTTGGAATTCGACCTTTCACATGAACAGGATAACGCTTAATTCGTTTTTAAGTTAATTTTAGTTTTCCCGTTGATTGATTAGACCGAAATGTTTGTCCTATGTTAACTTATCGGCTCTTAGTACGAACGCTTCGATGATGTCTGAGGATTAACATAGAGTAATTTGTCATATAGTTGTTGAGTGAGGCTGATGAAGATTTGGGGCACTCCATAGTATTGAAGTAGTTTTCAAATTACTTCGCCGTCAAGGCTGTTGAAAGCGTTTTCAAAGTTGGTGAAGTTGACGCAGAAGTTTGACTGCCATTCTATGCTTTGTTCGATACTGTTGATACGTAGAGTCCCTATTTGATCTGCACATGATTTGCTTCGCTGATACCAACTGGTTCCAGTCAGAGTTCTGCATTCAATGTGACTTTTATTTTCTCAAGGATGCACGACTTGATATTTTGCTTTGCGTGAACAAAAACATGATTCCGCACCAGTTCTTGCAGAGGCTCGATTCGCCGTCCTGTGATAGTTCGACAAGGTAGCCTTTCTTCCAGTCAGTAGGTACCTTTCTTTCCTTTCAAACATTGCGCAATATCGGCCTGTATATATCTTCTGCGGTCTCTGGGTCTGCTTTCGGTGCTTCAGGAGGAATTCCATCTCGCCCTGCTGCCTTCCAGGCTGGCCTTCAGTAGCTTGCATTCAAGATTTCTGCTTCTGTTGAAGGACTGGTATCCACTGGCAGTTGTGTTCGTGTTGTTGGTAATATTTCTGGGCGAGTTGCAGGGTAAAGTAGACTCAAGAGTCCTCTGAAGTGACCAGCCCATTGTTTCCTTTGTTCCTCCTCTTTGGTAATTAGGTTTTCTTGGTCATCTTTTATTGGTCTCTCCTGTGTTGATGTTTTCCTGTATAGAGACATGATTATCTGGTATAATGTTCTGTGGTCTCTTTTACCTCCAGCCTGTATTGCTTAAGTTTCCAGTATGTCGTAGAATTGTCTTCTGTCTTTCTTAACACTTTTCTTCATTTCTTTATTCAAGGCGATTTATATTGAACTCAGTTTCTTATGCTGTTATTAGATCACTTCGATCTGGCTAGAATCCACTACTGGTTGATATGATCGGTATCTAACTACTCATATCAATCAGTCAGTAGCCTATAGCCTCATGTGTTTATGTAGTTATTGTTTATTTCTGATATTACTTTATTTCTATGCATTTTATCTTTGTGTACTAGTTTAAAGATATGATAACATGAACAGCTGCACTGTTATTGTGTTTTCATATCATGTTTATATGCTTTAGTGTAGTCAGTGTTGAATTGATTTATGTTACACCTTTGCTTAGTTGTATGAAATTGTTTTAAAAGGCTACAAGAATAATATTTCATAAGCTGAAAGTTTGTTTAGTTAGTTGAATAAACAATGTGGTGAAAACTTTCCCAAATCATCTGATATACCTTTCCTAATTCCATAGACAGTTTATACATGAATAGAAGATTAAATTAGTATTTTCACATGTTTTATGATGTAATAAAATATAACAAATTTAATGTCTCTGGCATTGTATTGACTAAAATCAAAGTGTATTTCTGTCAGAACACAGGAAATCAAATCGATGCGTTCTTCTATGCTGCCAGCCAAACTTCTGCCGTTCACGCATAGTCAAAATTTTTATTCCAATAATATCAAAACACGGTTCAACGTAATAGAAAAAGCCTGTGGTACTATTATAACAATAATACATTGTAAAAAAAGCTAGAGTTACAAAATTAGAATAAAGCAAGAACAACAGTGATTTGTGCAGAATAAAATAGTACCATCATTTATTTCGTTGGCTTCTCATCAGCTGCTTACAGCCTAAAGTTTATGTACAGACAGCCATTTCAGGATACACAGAGAGTTCATTTTCAAACAAAAAAAATCAATGTATGCATACAATGGTAATAACAGTAATCGCTTTACCCCGAACAATAATTATCATATACAATGGAATTTTTAGATTTGCGTAATCAAATGAAAGAGAGGATGAGAACATACAGTTATCAAAGCAAGGAAAGACTGATAACTGAACACATAAATTGGGTTTCATGCGCTTGATCAAGATTGCTTCGGCATGCTTGAGGAGAATTGAACTCTGCTACCCATTGATAACTTCAGACGATATTGCGACGTCCACCTCATGACCCGTGTCAAGGAGGTGCCTAGCAACAGCACTGTTGAAAGCATCTGTTTCTTTGAGATATAGACTTTTTGACACATATTCAGAACATCGGAGGTATGCCCTTCTTTCTGTTCTCTCGGTGTAACTGCTCCGTCAGATATATGTAAACTTGTATGCACAATTGGAGTATCAGTATTATAAATAGATGGTTCATAAAGGGATTATTCTGTCACACACCAACTGAATAGTTATGAATTTTATTTGTTTTTATTATACTCTTGAAAGATAAGGTATTACACAATTTGTTACCATACGGTGATTTTACTTCTCCTATTTTCATCATAACTACTACATATACCACACAATCAATAACAATTATTGTTGCAATAGATCATGCTATAAGGTGAAATAAAAACTCAGATCGAATTAGGTTTAGAACCAGTATTCGTGAGATCATTAGGCTGGCATTCTGTGTACTAACCTATGGGATACAGCTGTCAGCCTGGTTTTCACTTTACTTCTATTATGTGAACAAATAGTATATAAGTGTGCACCTACAATTATTATGCTAGCTCCCCAGCCGGACTCCACACATCTATATCAAACTGTTATTTCAATGCTATGTCAGATGGTCTCCCTAACACTTACTTCTTTATTTTTACCCATCATTTACACTCTTGACAGATGCAAAGAGGTTCAAATCTCTTAACCATTATGTATAATTTAATGATTAATGATGCCATCTAACTGCATTGATTAAAGTAGATACTGGGGTGAAATCTGTAGTGAAACGTTCGAGGTGTCTGTGTAACAGCAACGCGATCCTACTTTATACTTCTATTCTCCTTAATTACTTATTATTTCATCATGAGCTGACATCATTGGAAAACCAACTGGGAGTACTGGACAGCTGTTTCCCCAGTCCTAGTTTGGGACTCTCCAACAGTATGCACCCACCGGGGCTCGAATCCAGGACATTCTGGTTACCAGGCAGACTCATAGGCCATTCAGCAGCCACTGGGAAACGATTCAATGGCCAGTGCATGAATTCTAACGTCTGCCAAATCACGACACAGTGCAACCACTTCGCGATGTCTTCTTCGATGAGTTACTGGCTCACCTTTAACTTACTGTACCATACTGGTCATGACTTCCCACTAGAACCCCAGGTTAACTCCCTGAATAGGACCAGTCGCTAGTGATCATTAGATCAATTTTCAAGTATCGGGTTTTTTAGGGGTTTTTGTTTAACCGTTTGAACCATTGGATTGGGTCCCAGTGGTTGCTAAGTGGTCTACGGGCTCGCTAGCCTCGTAACCAGAAGCTCCTGGGTTCGAACCCCGGTGGGTGTGCACTGATGAAGAGTCCCGAACTAGGCTAACGAAATAGCTGTCCAGTACTGCTAGGTTTTTCCAATGTTTCTTTAATTTATGTCAGCTTATTATGAAATCCTCCAAACAATCAAACAAACTTCTTACAAACCAAAACTTATTATTTCGTCTAATAAAAGTTAGAAAAATTCTCTTTTTTCTCCAAGCCTATTATTAGTAAAACTCGTCTGATGAAAAAACATATTCTTAATGATTATTTGTTCTTCTTTTTTCTTTTGTTTTAGTTAGCTTTGGACAAAGCATTAGCATTAAATGAATCAATGAGTTCCAAGAATGAAATTAAACTAATGCGACGTGAAGAAAAGTTGCAATTAGCATGGTCTTCTATGGTTGATCTTCTTGTTTCAGCTTATTATGATTTAACAGATAGTTTAGCCTATTTTTTAACACGTCATATTCCAGATCACAGAGCTGCTTTCTTTGGAATACACAGAAATAATTCCGGTATGATTGAATCCTCCAAGCATCCAGGACTATTTATTTCAAGTAGTGATAATAATAATAATAATGATAACGGTGTTATGAGGAATGGTCATTTCTTGATTTCAACCTCATTAATACATGAGGCAAATGGTACATCATTAGCAACGAAATCAATCAATTTGCATTCTAATATCCCTGGGCCTACTACCAACACTACTAATGGACAGGAAGACTATCAAGACGACTGGATTGTTGAAGCAAGAGGAAGATTAAGTAAATTATCTAACTTGGCTTTTAGTGTAAGTTCCTGAGAATATATATATATATAAGTATATCAACTGACTAACCTGCCCAAAGCAGTCCTTCTTTTATCTAATCAAAATAATATTTGGTGTTGAATTATGTCTGACTTTTACAGTCTTCAAATTTCAGAATAACGTACACAAACAAATTAATGAGGGATGACAACAGGATCACTGATATACTTTGTAATACTTATATTTGTGGATAATTAGGAAGAGAAGGATTTTAGATCCTTCAAACGTACTTGTAAGGCATGCTGTAGATGTATGGAATCTCCAACATTGAATGCGCTAAAATATTAAAAAATCGATAATTTACCCATACATACTGACTCAGTAATAGGCACGAAATCCAGTAATATGTAATACGACTTTTAATCATTCCACGTAATATCAGTAGAGGTAATTTTAATTAAGTTTTCAGTGATCGAACCAGAAATATGATCAATAAGGAGGGAAATCTAATTGAGGAAACCAAACAGAGAGAAAGAGAGAGTCCATTACTTATTAAATAAACTACTCGCTACGATTCATTGAAAAATTAGTCAAAACCTACAAGAAAATAGACATGCAAATAGTGACTACAATATGACTGATAAATAATTTAAGCTACTCCACATTGATAGGATCGTTCACTTGCTTCGTGACTCAATGGTAGGATGCTTGCCAACCATGTACTACGTGGTTTGGGTTCATTTTGCGACCATTTTTATTGTATATATATTAATATATTCCTTTATGTTTCCAGTGGAACATATTGCTTCAAACTAGAGCTTTGAAGTCCCGGTAGTAGTGGTGTTTATTTTTACGGGATAGGGTTTCTAGCGTCATCCACAACCTTCTTTCTTTATCAGTCTTATCACTGATTTCGCCTGGTAAAGTTGTGCATCGGTCGGGGATCGAACTCCTGACCACATGCTTGGTTAGTGAAAATTATACCACCAAGCCATCGACGCACCATTCCTCATCAACAAAATCCTAAACCTAGCCTAGTCTACAGTAAGCATGAAAAATAAAGGCAAATTCAGACATGAGACTAGCAACCCCGTTTTGTAAAAGAACAACACTACTCCCACTGCAACTTCAAAGCTTCAAGCTCAGTGTTTTTCTCAGAATGAAGAAGAAAGGAATAGATTATACCATCCAACGTTACCAATATTAACTCATACTTTCTTCTTGTTCTTTTCACTTCTCGTCAAAGTTATTTATATTTAACTTGATTCAAGGAAAACAATAAATAACAGATGAATGAAGAATTCACACATTTTAAAGCAATCTCATAACTGATGACAATTAATGTTTTTTAAATGAATAGGTGATAAAATAATAGTGAAGTATGTTTGTTGTCGCATTTGTTTGTTTTTATTACTAACAAGCGCACAACACAACTTGTCATTCATTGATTGAACAGTGAATAGTTAGACTAAAACAAGTAGGCGATCTATTCATAAAAAGAAAGAAAGGAAGAATAAAGTTATGGTAATACTGAAAAAAATAATTCATATATACATATCGTAAAAAGAGTGTTTGTAAGATATTTCATGAAAAGATAGCGAATTTTATTAGTAATACTTTGAGTGAAATGTCAAAGAGAAAAAATTGTAAAGAAAAATGACGGTGATAATAATAATAATGAGTCAAATTCCTTGTGATGTATCCAGAGTCAACCAATGACGAACAATCTTTGCTTCTCTATCTTTAGATTACTCGTAAAGTAATCTAATCCAGGTTGACGAAGCGTGTTTGTAACAACAGAAAACAAGGGTCAGGCAACAGATCGTTTATTAAGGAAATCAACACATATTTGTAGATTTTCATGTACGTTATTATAGATTATTGTTAGCAGAAAAACACAGTCTTCTGATTGGTTGTTTCTCACTGAAAGTTAATTTTTCATCTCTTTGTAGCTGTTTCTTGAATGTCAGATCATCTATATGCTAAGTGTATCCGCCTACGCAAACTCTGCTGTGATTGGTTGTTGAATCAGTCTTTGTTCTTATTTTCTCACGACCAATATTGGGACGTAAATTACTGTCTACCGATTTGGTTAGCAGCCAGCTCTGACCACATGTTGAGCTTTGTAGATTTGCTTCTCTTTTTACCTCAGATTCATATCACTCTCTGTCTATCTACTTCGTCCTGAGTAAATGGACGGTGAATTTGGCATATTACAGTCTAATGTATAGACTTGTACTGACTACTTCAGTACTATTTTCAATGTGATAGTGCAGAATCATAAACTTGCTTTTTCTGCGTATGGACAAAAAAATAAGCGGATTCTAATATCTGTCTGAATCGTTAACAAACGACAAAAAAATATACTTAGTAATTATTCTTTTTGTCCCTTGGAATTATATAACAATCAGCAGCTTCCACCCAAATTCAACACTTACACTTCTATTCAGTTCAGTATTCTTTCAGGTATATTGGCTTTGTGCCTGTGAAGTGTACAGTTAACATCCATACGCACACACTCGTACACATCAGTCTCTCAATCGAGCAGTTATTTAACATATGCTAGTGACCTGTCTTGAGCAATGTGTCTTGAAGTTATAATGTTGATACATGATCTAAAATTGACAGCCAGTTCTATACCAAAGGTGAAAGTGGTTAAATTTAAGTGAAAACATGTAGACTTTTCGAGACATCACAACCCCTACTTCTCTAACAGAATGCAGTACACTGTATACAAAGGTAAATCCTCCTCTGCTGTGCTCACTGAAGCTGATGTCCCCCAAGGTGCTGTACTCTCCCCACTTCTCTTTTCTTTCTTTCTTTCTTTCTTTCTACATAACTTACCATCTTCAAATGACATTAATTTTGTTAAGTATGCTGACGACCTGACTGTATCTTTGCCTGTCAAATATGTCAAAGCGACTACTCCAAACTAAATGGCTTTTTATCAGAAATCAGCCAATGGTCCAAGGAAAACGGTCTCACCTTAAACCCCTACAAATGCGAAACAGTCAATTTCACCCTTAGGCACAAACCTGACCTAAACAAACTGGTTAGGACTCACGAGGTGTACAACATTGATGGCACTGAAATAGAGACCAAGTCGGAAATTAAATACCTAGGCGTCATTCTATCTGCTAATCTTTCCTGGTCGTCTCATATCTTGATGATTTCTGAGAAAATATTCCGTCTTACCTTCTACATCAAGAAGTTCAGACATTCTGGAATAACCCAACCCTTACTCCTACAATTCGTTAGCTCCCGTATTCTGCCTATTATTCTCTATTGTTCCCCCTTAGTTTTTCCTGGGCTACTGAAGAAAGACTATGCCTTATTACGTAGGATGTTAAAGTTTGTCAGCAGGGTAAGCAACGTGACACTTAACCAGCTTGTTAATATTCTGGTCGACAGGCACATGGACTCATGTGAAAAATGGGCTAAATCCATTTTATCTAACCCACACCACACTCTTCATTCACAACTCTCCCCTTGTATCTCATCAGGTAAAACCAGAAGCCTCTATAGAAAACTACATGCTCTCAATAGCAAGTACAAAAACTCAACTATACCCCCACTTAGCTCGTGTTCTGTGCGATAAAGGGAAGCATTAGGCGTGATACCTATAACTTATTAAGTAGTCAGTAGAACAACTGGATCTCTTCTTTCCAACTCGTATCAGTTATAGGTACAACGTTTTCTTTCTTTCTTTTCTTTTTCTCACTCTCTCTTTTTTCTGTTATGTGCTGCTTTGTTTCTTTCTTCTGTTTACGCCAGTAAATATGCTAGAACCTACTTTTCTAAACACCTTCTAACACTCTGTTTAATTTTGGCTTTGCTACCGACATGCCAATACGTTGTTGTCAAAACTAACTGAGATTACCTTAATCTATGTAGAACTTTAGTTATAGTTCATGTACTAACTGGATGCAATATTGTAGTAAAATGCTGAGAATTCCATTCTGTATCACAGGTACTGTTTGGGGATAAAGCTATTATTATCTTTTATCCCTATCTCTTAAAATTTGGGTATTTTATTGTAAAATTTTGAAATTGTGTCTGTCATCTTCTGTACAGTTGGGAATGTGTGTCTAGCTGAATAGTGACAAGCTAAGATATTTTAGTTATTCATTACTCTTTGCCTTTTAACAGTTTGGCAAGTGATATTCGTCCCTTATAAATATTTTACCTGAATGAACAGTTCATTGGTTGCAATAGCTCATCCGAAAGATATCATGAGCTAGTTTGTGAAACTGCTCTTGTCATTCCACTGCATAGATTTCACAATGAAAGGGATATCAGTATTCAAAACAAACTATATCCGTATTAACTAGCTAAGACTGATAATACATTATTCTGTAACATTAGTGATTTTTGTGGTATTCGCTTAACTAACTTCTTTGTTCATTGAAGAGAAATTTTTTTTTCTATTTTTCAGGATTTATGCATTGATGTATACGATGAAGCAGATCGCCGTTTAACAAATTCATTCCTTGAAAATATTGATACATTTAAAAGTTCAAAGCATTCACACAATTACTCTGTGTTCAATGGTTGTCATATTGATAAAAGTGTGTTGCACAATGGTGGTAGTAGTAATGCCAAAGAACCTACATCTGTGCCAATCCCACCTCCACATAGAGTAACAACGCTACATCAAACGACTAATTCAGCTAGTGTTAATTTAACTTTATTTTTTCTACCTCCAAATACAAATTATTCCTCTGTACGTAATCAAGCACGTCAAAAATTAGGTCGTTTATCTACAATTGAATTTCACACATTAACACTTGATGTTCTAACAGAAGCATCAATTCGCCTTTTACCTTTATTTTTACCAATGAGTCATGTAAATACTGAGGAAATGTCATTGAATGAAATTAGAAAGTTAGAAAGACCACGTCATTCATATATAGACTATAATAACTCTGCTGAATATTATCATCATCATCAATCACATACAGTAAATGATTACATTGGCTCTCATAGGAATGTACCTTTACCATCCATACCATCATCAAAGACAACAGATCCTGATCTGATTGACAGTGAACAACATCTGCATAGTACGAACAATAGTAGTCATGAGAGTTTATGCGATGATGAAGTAGATAAAAAGTCAAATAATACTAATGATCACTTCGATATTTCCCCTATAGAGCCAATAGCTTCAGAAGATTTATCAGAACAAGAGAATTCACAGATATTGACACCATCGTCACCTTCCGTTGAGAAAACAAAGAAAGCCTTGACAAAGAAAACAACTCGTCTAGGTCGTTCTCGGGATGATCCTGTTTATGATCAGGTAAGAGTATATTTTACTTTATTATAAGCGTATTTTACATTGTGTGGTTTTTAGTTTAGCGATTGAATTCAGTATTTACATATTGTTGTGTATCGAATTTTGAATAATCAGCCCAATCTTATAAACAGATGACGCTGTGACCAGCTGATTCATTGATTGCACTTCCATCTCGTAGCTGAACTTAGATTCCATAGGTTTCCCACGTTCCAGACTATGAGTCACATTTATAGCTTAAGGGCTATTGATACTACCTAGTCTCCCAGGCTGCAGTAGATGGAGCTGGATTCGAACCTGAGGCCACCCACTGACTGAAAGCCAAGTATTTATGTCAGTGAGTCATGTCTCCACATGTTGTTAGTGAAGAGTATGAATACCCTAACATATACCTAGATTTTTATGACAGGAATAATTATATCCAGTCATATATATATATATTGTTGGGTTAAGCTAGTATTTAACAAGTACTTTTACTAATTACCAATAATTTAATTCAGCTCGCTTTAATGACTCCATTTTTATTAACTAGTGTGAATAATCTGTAAAGCGTGGGTGGGTGAAGACATTGCGTGTGTGTCGGTGGCAAAGCGTTGGAATGCTTGCCGACCAAGTATATGGACTGGGGTTCGATCCCCAGCCGACGCACTCCTTTACCTCGCTGAGCCAGTAGGAAGACTGGTAAAGAGAGACGGTTGGGCATGAGGCTAGCAAGACACCACTGCTACCGAAACTTTAAGCCTCTAGCTTGAGGCCCTATGTTCACTGGGGTAATGTAAAGGAAGAAAAGAAGACAATGTGAAAGGGAGTGAGACAAAGCAAAAATGACTTCGCAACCCTAACTCAAACTTAATTAATTGATGGTTCCCTTATTGTTCTTTCACAACAACAGTGTGGGTAAAACCAGACACATCACGCTAAAACACCAACTGTTGTATTGATATCCAGTATATAATAGCAGTGAACTAATAAGCAAATGAGTCAGATTTTGAGTAAATCCACATCATTTTATCCTGACGTACTGGTTAGTCACAAAAAATTTTGAGATAAAAAAAAGGAGATATGCGGAAAAAATACTTCGCGGGATTTTGTATTTGAATTTATATCGCTAAATAGATTTGATATATGAATAATTGAGGCTGAATTTTTGTTTTTTATTTTGACATGCTCAGTATTCTATCTCAACATTATCAGTCTATGAAATAGTGTGGGGTACAATCTTGAGTAGCTTTCGGCTATCTGCTGTGCTGCTTGTTGATTAATTATTCTACTTTGTAAATGCTAATTGCTATTATGAAAGAATGTGAAAATAAATATGGCTGGTTGTTCAATGTTTAGAATTTTTGAAATGGAAAATGTTTGTAACTCTATGAGATTGTTTTTTAATTGGTTCTAAATTACACTAAAGTAGTAAACACTACTATGTCACTACTAGTTTAATACTTCAAAGCTATTTCAAGGTGACTTGGACAACAACAATGAAGTTCTCATTTTTTGAAAGAAAAATCAATATTTATTGCACAAATAGTGATAATTTTTATTGTGGTAGATGGATCGATTGTTATTAAGACTGTGTAGGCCTAGTTCTCTGATGATCCCTAGTATTTCACTATCTGTTGTTGCTAATCATTTTTGTGAATACCTGATGACTGATATTAACTTAGAACTTATAAATATGGTAAACGTAAGGTATTCAACTGCAGTAATATGAAATTATATAGGATAACATGTACAGCAATTGTTGTGTAACTGTGATTTTCTTAAGGTTACCTCATGTCTCGTCACATTGACGCATCATCTGTTTCTCCTATCGCTTCATTCTAAGCCCGCCCATCGTCCGAACCAGGGGTGCAATATGTGTGGCGGTATACATGACACTGTACGATCACCGTTTACTTCTCTTATGTTGTCGTCCCTCTATATATATATATACTCACACTTCATCTGGTAGAACAAGAAGCACCTATAGGAGGCTATATGCTAGCACTACCAAGTACAAGAACTCCACTATACCATATCTGGCACAGTTGTTATGTGGTGAGAAATCCGTTAGATATGACACGATCAACTTACTGCAGCACTCTAACAAATAGTCCCATTGCTTTTTGTTTTCCTTTCCTTGTTACTATTACACTGTTGTTCTCATCTTCTATTACAGACCAATTTTATATTTCATATCCTGTGGTGCATTGTTTAAAATGTAAATGCAATGCTGTCCTTTTTATTTTTTTATTTATCTCTTTATTATTTTTTTTGGGTGTTGCTTTTTGATTTTCAAATCTTATGAAATTCATGAGGTAATTCGATGCAGTATATTGTAATGCATGCTGAAAATTCCATACCTGTACCACAAATACTGTTTGGAATAAAGCTATTATTATTATTATTATTATTAGTTATAATCCCACATTTCCTTATTCTTTTTATCTTTTCTTCCTTTTGTCTAAAGGTTTTTTTTTGTGACTTCTCAGGATATTCTCTTCATTCCTTTTGTTTGTTTGCTGCATTTGTTTTGTTACCCTCCAAGTTGATGTGCAGATGTCGGATAGGACAACATGCAAGGTTTTGCCTCAATGCTGTGCTGTATGTTGAGGATGTTTTCCTATTTGTAAATACCTATCCCATGGTAGTAATTTTAGTAGTGAATAATGTGAATAGCTAGAATACCTAATCTGTACTTGATACGTAATTACTTTTGTCATGCACTCAGCATTAGTATTTTATCATCCAACATCTTAAATTTGGAAACACTATGGAAACATACTTATGAATAAGAGACGCCGTTAGCTAAAGTGGATGTATGAATTTTATCATAGTTTTTATTTCGTTATACAGAGAGTTGTTACATACATGCCCAAGTTAATCAAAGCCTAGAGAATTCCCAAATAATTTCCACTGTAGTCGAAAAAAAAATGCTAGAGTATCACTGAGTGCAAAGAAGCATTAAATAGGTGTTTCATTTATGTATTGGGCTGCGAACCAACTTCATTTACTATTGCACTCAGGATTGTCAACTTCTGCAATTAGCGGAGTAATGTTCAACTCCTCAACTTTGATCGAATAGCAACATCATCCCGTTTTTAATGACCTAATAATATCGTTCGTCTTTTTATTTAATTTATTCACTGAGTAACTACCGTTCTTATATTCAAGTCGGATGAAATAATAGGTCATCCATCTGAAAGACAGTCATCAATGGACATTGGTAGTAAAGGTGTTTTTCATCAATGGCAAATTTTGTACTTTAGGAAACAAAGTAAAGTGTTGTTTGAGTGGATCGTGTTACAATGCTCGATTACCTTTTTCTTTAAGTGAAACCTCTATGTTTTTTTTTAGGGAGAGCGGGGGTTATGGTAATCATAGTAGTAATTTCAGTCAATATAAGTACATGATCTGATCAAAAGTCAAATAATTATAGGGGGATATTCAATATATGGAGACGGATAAATAGACCTAATAACTTTTTGATTCATTGGATCCAACGTACGTCAACCAATTCATTTTTATCATCTGCGTAGGGTAGATAATCTTGGCGCTAGCGTACACAAACCATGTGTTACGTATGCCAAGCCATCGCCTCCCTCGACGAGCAATGTTAGCGGATATAGGGTCAGGCTGGAAAAAAACTAGCGGCGGTCAAACGAAAACTTGGCCGAACCAGTCAATGAAATCCACAACAGTTGGTCTAAGCCACGTAGGAAGGTGTAGACTTCCAGGCTGGGGTCCTCGGGACGGTAAAAATCTATGGTTGGAAACAATTGGTGACATGGCTCAAAACCGTTCTCAGTGGCTAGCGCAGATGCATCCACTCCCTGTGACTTATGATCTTCAATGAAACTGTTTTGTTTTTCTTTATTACTCCTTTGTCTCACACCTCTGCTCACTGTTTCTATTATGCTTTTCTTGTACTTTCTTCCCTTGCTTCGCGTGCTACACGGAATGTGGCGACTTGAACTTCTGCACATTTGTGCAAAGTTCTATGTCGAAAACAGACAGACAGAGACACAAACCACATGCACTTGATCAATAAGTTCTAGTTTCTGTAAATGTTGATTATTGAATAGAAATGGGCAAAACAACTTTGAATTAGTTCATAATTAAATCTATAGGTGAGTCAACTCAGGGCCAGTTCTAGAGGCTAGATGCATGAAATTGGTTACTCATTAGTCTTCGATCGATGTATCCATTGTTGTTCTATGGAAAGTTAGTTATGAACCAAAATAGCTCAGTGATGAACTTTCTGACTGCAGCATTGATTGATATGGGTTCAAGTCTCCGAGATGGTGTTAGGTCCTTCGAAGTTGCTGATGTACCTTCCTGACAAGTGCCAATAAACACTAAGGAAAGGTTCAGGGCTTCCTGTCGATTTCCTCTAAGAACTACCTAACTTAGTTAAGGAAACTGTTTTTTAATTCCTGCAGCTGAAAAATCTGCATTTTAGGTTTGACTACTTATTTTCACCATGTACTATGTATTTAACATTTAGCAGTTTGCTTACTGTCTACCGTCAGTGAAATATTCACAACCAGCAATCAAAAAGTACATATTCTACTGAGTATTCTGTTATGCCTTGTTTTTATTCTTTGGATTATGACTGCTAAAGAATTTTGAAGACTTTTCATCTTTGGTATCTTTGTGATATTAATTTTTAATAAAACTAATCACAGATAAAGGTATGGGGAATTTTTACAAGTAAAAAATGTAACTAATTTAATATTCTTTCTAAGCCTCTAACAAGTTTTGCAAAAAAAAAAGTTAACAGTTACCTTGACAACAATCCCAGTAGATTCATATTGGCGAAAAATAAGGATGATCGCATTGATCGACAACAACAACAATAACCAGTATTTCTTAATCTTATTCTTTGAAGAGATTTTGATTATCTTTCATTCATTTACAAGATCCTTTTCAATAGTCTAGATTGTAGTGGATCAATGCTAGTTTTGTTAATTTCCAAGTCAATTGAAATGAAACATCTTAGTGAAATGTGACTTAGCGCTGAAAAG